CCTACACATCAATTCCACTCATCTTCAGTGAGAGCCAAAAGTGCCCAACACCTCTCATGTTAACCCCCTCCAATTTTTGCCTTCTCTTAAAACCACCCGGTTGCTGATTGCTGCTACCCACAAAGTGCACTTCATGTGAAAACAGTTAGAAAAGCACTAAAGACAAAGAAACAGTCATCATTTTTCATATGCTAAACAGATGAATCAGTGCACTAAGTTTGCCAATAACTTAATGTGCTTTTTCGTATTTCCTTGCACAAGCGGTGAAAGTTCTAGCCAACTTTTTTAAACCTTCCAACACCTCATTAAACACAACAGAAAACAGTAATCTGCAACAACACACAAAACAAACACTATCACAACTGCAAAAGGCACTCATCCTCCTTCCTTTCTCACCTGCTTGCCTGTCACATCCACCAGTTATGTACCACCTTTAAACCTAGTCTGGTTTCTACAGCACCTAGCTGAACACGAACCTGCCTGATAGAGCATAAGCACTACCACAAAATAAATTTAATATAGTATCTTTTAGTCCCAAGCCTTACCTGTCAATGTGACCTTACAGCTGAACCAGCAAACAAAGAGTAACGTGTTCAACTTGTGTTAAACAGGACTCTTCACTAGTCAGCCAAGGGTGAGGAAGTCACGGCTGGATTAAATGTGGCACAGAGCTGAAACTGCTATAAAAACTACTGAGATGTGCACATGTGTCTATAAAGCTGTCATAAGCAAAATACATTTTCCCAGAAACATCCAACTAACTGCATGTTGCCAGGATGGCAGCTGCATGTGCTTCACTGAAATAGAGTGTGTTTCTTTTTAATTTCTTTCAGATCTGAAGAACTCTTGCACCCTCAAAGACTATGAGAAAAGCAAAAAACCAATTTTTGACAGATATTCTAAATGTAAGATCTGGAGAAAATTACTTGTTCATGTATCTTTTTTAAGACATCACTATCTTGCAAACCTTTATGCATTTTTTTAAAATTATTTTTAATGTTTCCAACTGAAGCAACAGATAAACAAGAAGTTTTCCTGTCAGCTTCGCTCACTTTGCAATTCCAAAAAAAGGAGAGTTACCAATATAATTTTCATGAGATTATTAATTGTATGTTTTACTAAAAACAAATACACACATACCAAAGCAAAAGAGTTTGGGTACCAATTAAATTGTCATGAAGAAATGGCAAAGTCAGCCTCCATTTCTACCTTGTAAAACCCCAGCAACAATTATTTGCATATGTTAAGGAATATGTGAATGGTATTAAAAGTCAATAAAAAACAAAATAAAAAGCCCATTAAATTCAGGATTATTTTGCCCTAAACCACTAGCATATGATGCATAGGCTTATAAATACTGAACATGTAAATGCTGAGTCTACTTCATGCTCTTGCCACTGTCTGGTAGCAAACACTAAAGGCCACCTTACATCTCCTCCAGCTAATCCAAACACTCTCTGGTACAGAAAGCAAACTGCACAATCTATAGAGTAAAATGTATGTAATCAATTCATGTAGTCCAACAAAAATATTGACAAGCAATTACAGGACTTCAGCACACAAACACTTGCTGTTGTTACAAAAGCTAGCACATCATTAAGAGAATACTCAAGGAAACACGGAATAGAAAAAACTCGCATCAAAACCCCAGCTAATTAGTTCACATTTATCAAAAACATCAAAAGTGAGTTTTATTTTTTCAAAACAGAATTATTTAAGAACATGACAATTTGTCAAGGCACATACGGCAATTAAGTGTGTAAACAAGCAGTAATATCCTTATTTGGTGATGTTATTACAGATGTTTATAGATTCAAAACTTTCAAAGGATTAATGGAAAACAAAAATAATGTCTAAAGGCAATTCTGCATCTTAGAAAAAGCTACTCAAGTCAGCTAAAGTACTTTAGAACTTTAGAACTAACAACATTAAAAAAAAAAAAAAAAGGAAGCAAGTTCTGTATAGAAGTCAATTAAAGAGCAGCACTGGAGAGAAATGCTGACCAACAGACTATTTTCTCCCCCTGGATCTAGATGGTGTTAGCCATTTCCAAGTGACAACTCATACTGACAAATTTGCAGAATTAGGCTCTAACTAGGGATCTAATAAAGTGAAGACTACCACAACTACCTTAGACTTGAATACTAATACTTAAGACAAATGCCTAAAATGTCTCAATGCTTTTTACTGATAAAGACAACTTCTAGAGGACAAGGAATCATGGTTCAGAAATCGTAACAACCAAGCAGGGATATAGTCCTCTCAAGCTCTACCCTGTAGTTCAACCTCTTGCAAGTAATCAAGTCTGCATGCAATATTCCTGCTTTTCAACTCCTGGCTCAAATTTTGCTTAAATATTAGTAGCATGTAGTTTATAAACATTCTTGTGCAACTCTGGCATGTTTCCCTTCTTCCAGAGATCTAAAACAAGTTTTGAGAGACTGGACAGCAGTAAGAATAAAAACTGTAAAAGTTCCTAGTCTTCCAATTAATTTACTAAATTAGAATTACAGAATTGCAAGTTCACATACATATATACACACACCCCCCACACACTAAAGGACTACATCTTAATTGAAGGACCACTTCTTCAATTCAAATTGTTTCTCCCTACTATCACTTGGTGGTACTCCTCTTTATTTGGAGTTGTTCTGTATCCAACTTAAAGCTGCCCTGAAAGAATCACTGAAGGTCTAAGATTACACTGACTAAAAAAACTCAACATCGACCATCCTCCTGAGACATTAAAGCCAACAGACAACTCTATACCCTTATCATCTGTAGGTGACCTATGTAGAATCTATGAAGTAACACTGTCAGCATGATACTATAAATCAGATTTACTGATTAGTAACATATCCTGATTCTGATCAATCAAATTCTGTATGTTTAGGCACCAGTTTTATCAAGCTGAGGAACACGGGAATTTGCCATATCCTTTGAAGCAGAACAAATTCAAAGCAAGCTGCAGGTAGAACAAGCAAGGCAATAGTGTTTCATAGGGAATATATCCTGCCTGCAACAATTTTCTTTTTACAGAAAGAGAATTCTAAATTGGTCCTGTAGAATTTCATGATATGGCCACTTGATAGTAACAAATCTGGGATTTGCTTTCCCTCTCCTCCCAGAGACAGACAGGTAGCTCATGCAGAGCCTGGAACACCACTATCACATGCTTCATCTAAAAATATACCACTTGCTCCACATAGTCTTGGTATACCACACTAGCTTCATCTGTGTGTACTTAGGCAGTGACCTATGCACATTACAATGCAGCAGTCTAACCCTGAGGCACCAAAAAGCAGAAAAAACATATGAAGTTGCCATTAGTCTTAAATATAACATTCTACGTGCACTGATTCTCTGCTCTCTCAAGACCCTGTAGAAACACAATCTTTAAGCTGATGGAGAAGGTGAGGACCCTGACAGTAGCTCACAAGTGAAAAAAAAGCAGATTAATTATATCTTACTCCTTTAAATCTTAACCTACAGCAAGAAGAGGAAGAGGAAACACTGTCTTAAAAAGGAAGGATGACCTATCATTCAAATTATTTTACCAGGAAATAAAATCTTGCTTCTATCAGCATTTGTTTATCCACAACCAAATAATCAAGGTGCAGGCCATCTGATTTTAAGGAAACAACCTACACTCACAGTTGTATTCATGAAAGGCCTGACAACAAAAAAAATCAAGACTTAGCCTGTATGGTTTGGAAAGATAAGACAGCTTCCAACCACATACATGAAGAATGAAAAATGCATAGGCACAAAAGTAACCCTGTTCTAGTCTGAAAATAACCTCCTACCTTACCACCCTCTACAATGCACTTGCTGTCAGCAAATGATAAGATGATTAATTAAGGTTATTCACAGAAGTACTTTGAACAGATTTAGTTACTCAAATTCAGCAGAACTCGAGTATCATGCCTTTTCTGGATTCAGAGTATGAAATGCAGCTTCACAACAAATTTTTAAAAAGTCATTTGCCCAATCTTGGAAGGAAAGAATAACACTGGTCTATTTCGCAAAGCACGGCTAAAACTAACCAAATCCATGGCTCTATAGAAAGTCACTGCCAACATAATATAAACTAAACTTACACACTAGAAACCAAGAGAAATTTCTGTGAAATTATTGACAGTGATACAATTGTACCCGAAAGCATGAGTAAGAATATCCATTTAAACATAATGACTTTTGCAAAACGACGAAAAAAAATAGTTTAAAAGGCAGGCTACAGTTTCATAAGGCCACTAAGCCTAAAACAACACTGCTTTGACATTTAATTTGGTCAAAATCAGAATAGTGATTAAAAAAACATACAATAAGCTGGCACCCAACTTCCTAACAACTCTACTGGAAACTCATCAGCCCTTCCAGATGGAATAGCTGAAAGAACTGAAGACAAGAGACATATTCTCTCCATATAATCATATAATCTAATATATTATACACACACTATGCCTAAAAAATTCTTAGGAAAAAAACCCTCAAATACACAGCTAAAAACAGTTATCATGTAACTTCTTTTCTTTTATTCAGAAATTATGGAGTGTTAGTCCTGCCTCTTTAGGAAAAAAAATCCAGTTAACAAAGAATGCATGCGATCACGAAAGGTATTTGACAAATGTCCTATTGAGGAATGACAGTCGTCATCTTATAAAGTACGTCGGGCACCTTGTTTATTTGAACCTGTGATTTCATAAGGGCCTTATGTACAACATGAACTGAAAGTACTTGCTAAGGTAGAAAAAGTGGTTAGACAGAAGATTTTAAAAATGTGCAATATTCAACAAATATTAAGTTATATTAAGTGAAAAAAGGAATGAAAGAACAGCTAAATCTCAGATGAAGTGAAAATTTACAAAGTATTCTAAATATCACAGAGACATCATCTTCTCTGTGGAGAATGTTTTCCCAACTGGCTTATTCAAAAATTAAGCAAACTGAAACACGGTGACATTAGTTTTCCAAAGTCAATGTAATAATAAAATCTTAATGTAAATTTTACTTTTTAAAAATTTTTTTAATTAAGGAACTTAATTTGTAATGGGCTTAAGCTCTGTTATTTAGAAAAAGAAAAAAAAATAAAATTCTCTGAACCAATCAGGCTTTAATCCAGACAGCAGTCTCTATTACTTCAGGACAAGTTTCACTCCTTTATTTGCCAAATTACTAGAAGTGGCTAAATTATATGGCAAAATACGTTTAACCAGATGATCGTGTACATTGTAAGTTCAACTCTAATTAATAATTAATCCAAAGGCAACAAGAGCCACCACAAATCTCACAGTTTCAGGAGAACCTCAACACATCCCAGTGCAGTGAAATGTAACACTTAGATTCCCTTGTCGCAGACCATTATCCAAAACGATGCACATTTGTAAGTAAAATGCATTTCAAATCCTCAAATAGCAGACATCACAGAAAACCAACCACGTTTTACACTAGATCCATGCATTTTTTTAAACCTCAACTATAACCCTAGCTTCCTGGAGCGCAAGACACTGGGGCATGCCAATGAAGATACTGATTTCAGTGCCCGTGCACTCACTCCACTCTCACAGTTGTTTTAGGAGAGAACTGCTGCCAGGGAGTGCTTCCCTCCTCTGGTGTAGAAAAGGCTGACCCACTTGCCTTAGGGATCATACTGACTAAGACTGCAAAAATTAATAAGGAACACAGTTCTTGTAAGCATGCCAGGATGTAGCACTTATGTACTGGGTAAACGAACACAGTCTCCTGCATTATTTCCCGACTATTCCTCCAGTCGTTTATAATTACAGAATGACTTTTCACTAGCAATGTTAAGTTTGCAAAATAACCTCCACACCATGCACTTTTACCACACCTGAAAGTCACAGCCTTCACAGCGTCACACCTTCCTTTTTAAATAGGATATTTTTGTTCTACAGCTCTGAGTTTTCTCCTGTTTGAGGCAGGGGAGTCTCATCAGTGTGTGTATGAATACGTGGTGGGAGGGAATGAAGAGGGAGCCAGACTCATCTCAGCTGTGCCTACTGACAGGGCAGGAGGTAATGGAAACAAATTGAAACACAAGAAAAAAAACCCCAAAGCTTCTTTTTTTTAATTTTATTTTTACTGTGAGGGTGGTCAAATGCTGGCACTAGTTGCCCAAGGAGGTTGTGGAGTCTCTGTCTATGGAGACATTCAAAACCTGACTGGATATAGCCCTGGGCAACTGGCTCTGGGTGACACTGCTATAGCCAGGGGTTGGACTGGATGGTCTCCCTTCTGACCTCAGCTATTCTGTGATTCTGTAAAGAGCAAGTCAGGAGGAAACCAGCAGAAAAGCCATCAGCAGGATTACCTCCAATATCCAGGAACAGCTCGGGATCAGCACTCAACTCATAATGTTTGTAAAGTGATTGAGAGGCTGGGACAGGTATAATGCACATCTCATTAAAACAAAATGTACCCATACTCTCCCTCCAGAAATCATATATTATTTTGTAAGGCTTTTCCTGCATTTAACACAGACAAACTCCTGAAATACGACTAGCTGTAAAATTTGCAACGGCCACACGTTTCACAGTTCACTCCGGCAGGATAGACTAGGTAGCCAGGATTGAGAGGCTGGGACAGGTATAATGCACATCTCATTAAAACAAAATGTACCCATACTCTCCCTCCAGAAATCATATATTATTTTGTAAGGCTTTTCCTGCATTTAACACAGACAAACTCCTGAAATACGACTAGCTGTAAAATTTGCAACGGCCACACGTTTCACAGTTCACTCCGGCAGGATAGACTAGGTAGCCAGATG